GGAAGCGCGGCAGCGCTCCCGCCCGAGGGTTCGGATCCCACATACAGACCGGTTCCAGCTCGCTGGCTGAGCGGGGCGCTGGAGCAACACCGAGGCTTGCAATCCCGTTGCCGGTCCCCGGTCTGGTACGGGGGCAACACTGAGGGTTGCGATCCGTTGCCGGACACGGAAAAAAGACAAAAAGACAAAAAAAAAAAAAAAAAAGTTTTCTAAATCACTTTAGACATATTACATGTAAAGTTTTACTTTTACATAAACGGTACTATACTACATATTTTGTCCTGATATCTTCTATTTTTCACTTAATATTTTGTCTTTAAAATCTTTTAATTACTTCAGAGTACCACAGTTTATTTAACCATTCCTTTGTTGATGGACAGTCTATTTCCAGTTTTTTCCTATTACAGGACTGCTGCAAAGCTACATTATATATATTTACACACACACACATATCTTGGTGCACCCTTGCATGTATTTATGTAGATACCTAGAAGCAAAATTACTGGTTTAAAGGGAATACATACCTAAAAATATGAAATATACAACAAAACTATGTTCTAAGAAGGCAAAAGCAATCTCTATCAAGGGACCTTTTTTTCCATATCCTTATCAATAATTTTAATTCATGCCAATCTGGTTCAGCAGTGATAAATATCTTCTTGTTTTAATTTGCATTTCATTAGTTATTAATGAAACTGTGCCTCTTTTCATGTTGATTCCTCTGAAAAGTACCTTATTCATACTCCTTGCTCACTTTTCTATGGGATTTATTTATCTTACTGATCTGTAGGGTTTGTTACATACAATTTAAAATATTTTTCCCCAATTTATCTTTCTTTTTTTAACTTTGTTCACAGTGCTGATTAATTTACAAATCTATTTAAGTTTATATAGATCTTTTTTTTTTTTTTAACTCTGTGGCTTCTTTAGAAAGAGTATTTTTAAAAATCCTCTTATTTTCTTATAAACTTTTAATTTTTACCATCTATGTATAATCCATCTAGTATTTATTTTGGCTACATGTGAGGTAGGGTTATAAATAGCTATTTTTTCAAAAACAGAGTCGACTGACCCATCACCATTTATTGAATAGTCCTAATCCTTTCTCCACTGATTTGAAATGAAACCTTTACCCCTGAAATCCATATTTTAACTTACTAGGCATTTACAAAGTATTTTATTTATGTAATACATGCAATATATTTTCTTATCTGGATACTACTGGTGCCCCTTCCTCACTTAATACTTTTTACATTTTTCTTTTTAAGTTATTACTTTTTAAACTTCTAATTTGACATTTCATCTTGTGCAAGAGTAGATCACCTTAGGATTTCACCTATTTGAAAGTGAACTATAGGATTATCTTCTGAAAGAAAATACTCACAACCCATTTGTTTGCACTGAAGAGTATCCATGGTAATGCACTGATAAAACGACCTTGTTTAAATGAGGTAAGATATCTCGCACACAACAAGCAAACAGAAATGTAATAATGCTATTTGTAGTCTTTGTCTGCCTCCCTCCAAATTTCTTACCTGCTGTAAACTGAGAATGAGAGTCTTGGCACACTGAATTTTATCAATCTGCCTGGTTTTACTCAGTGTTTCCTTAATAATATCACCATAGTCATTGTAATACTGTGAAACAAAAGAAAATGTAGCTTTAAAATTATTGAAATTTCACAAAATAAAGAATGGGTTAGTGAAAGAAAGGAAAAGTAAGTACAGAAACGTTTAATTTCTTCATCTTAAACATAATGGGAGTTAAATGAACTGTGTAAGGTTAAAGAAATACATATTTGATATTTAAGATTACAAAGTAACTAATGATAAAACTAAAAAAGCTGGGAATTCTAAAACGAGATGAGGTTATGTAGATGAGAAAAATTCCTTATTCTTTATAACATGATTCAAAAGATACCATCTAAAAGGTGACAAATCAAGAAATAGAATTCTGGTAGAAATCTAAAGAACTAAAACCAAAACAGTTTAAATTGCTTATTTCTGCAGAGTGGGCCTAAATAGGGGGAAAGGGCAGAATAGGGTAACGGACTTAACTTTTCATTTAATACTTTTGTGTACTATTTAACCCCCCCAAAATGTCTATATTTTATTATTATAATATAAAAATTGAAAAGCAGTGACTGGGAAAAATTTAACTTCCTTTAAATTCAGTTTTTGACCCAAGGTTTAAAGAATCTTACTTGTGAGTAAATAATTAGGAAAAGTTTCATCTGAAACCATTAAATCTAAAAATTATTTCCAAGCTAAGGCCTAAAGACTTATGTGAAGAAGTGATTTATATTAGTTCGGCAATTGAATTTTCAAAATCTTCAAAAATGTGGGTATGCTTCCATGAAGTGAGGCACCAAAAGGGGGAATAGCTTAAAAGGATCATTTTTTCAATGCAATTAAGAATTATGTCAATGAAGAAAAAAAGAGAAAAGATATATCTCTTATAAATTCAGATTTGAACTGATCATGTACAGAAGTGGCAGGGAAAGCCACACAGCAAATAGGAGTAGCAAATAGCTAGTAGAATACTCACAAAAGGGTCAAAGTCTATAATGAGAGAAGCGGTATGCAAAAAATGCTAACAATAAAAATTTTGAAGGCTCATTTCTTGGAACCAATGCAGTATATTGCTGAGGGATGACCAGGAAAAATCAGAACTCAACACATTTTATGCTTCTTTAGTTCCTGTGAAGGGGAACAACTATATAACAAAGGTAGGATAAACACTGGTAAAACGGAACTGAGATCCAGGTTGCAAGAAGAGATAATGAGAGCATGAAGTCATTCCAAATGAATTATTTTCCTAGGCCAGATGAATCATGTCCTATGAAATTTTGCAGAGATTATGGAAATATTATTTGTGTTAAGAAATGATGAAAAATAGGCAAGGTGTTGAAAGAGAGAGGTAATCATATTTCTAATTTTCCAAAGGAAAAGAAGGTCATATGGAAAATTAAACAACCCTTCCTCCACGAATGCCTGGGCTCCACCTAAGATATTCTCATTCAGGTTGAGTGGGACCCAGGAATATGTAATTTGGAATGCTCCAGATGACTGATGCATAATCAGCATAAAGTATAACTGCTCTGAACAATACATCAGTGAGCTTGATGTTGAATCCAAGCAGGACTACAGAATACATTATTAAAAGCAATGTTTGTGAATACTTAGAAATGAAATGGTTGCTAAGAGCAAGAAGAAGTTCATTAACATCCAGTATTTGTCTTTATGGGTCACTAAAAAAAAAGTTCACTAACAGATCATGACATTTTCTTTTTGAAAGGTTCAACAGGCAAATATGACAGACAGTCTATCTGAATATCAATAATCAGTTTGTCACGTTCTTTCATGGTTCTTTATAGACCATAAAGAGAAAATGAGCTGAGATAGGTATATTTATGCTGCTATCTTGGCATGGGTTTTTCTTCCCTCCCATGCTTATTATCTAGAAAGCTCCTATTTGTTTATACAAACCCTGTATAGACATTAACTTTAGGACGCATCCTCTGGTTCCTCTCACTTAAGTCTGCCTCTGTATTTGGTGCTAGCTTTGTACTTTGTACATCTGTCACTATAATAACCATGCTGAGTTTTTGTGGTCCAGGGGAAAGGGCTAGGCGTAGGAACCAGACAAACCTAAAGTCAAATCTCAGTTTTTGCTACTTTAATAGTGTGACCTCAGGTGAGTTAACCTCTCTGAGCCTTAGTTTCCTTATCTGTAAATGAAGATACTATTTCTTACCTCATAGGGTTATTGTAACAATCAAATATAATGTGAAAGACACTTAGAACAGTTTCTGAAATATAAATGGCACAGAATGAATGGCAGCCATTTATTCATTATTAGCATGCTATATTATATTATGCTTACATTTCAGTTTCTCTATTAATCTGTAAGCTCCTTATTGCAGAACTCATGTCTTATTTAAACTTCTGGCTCCCAGCACAGTGCTCATCATATTGTAGTTTTTCACCAAAATATGATGGATTAGCTATTACCTCGTAAGGGGAACTGGACCATACCCAAACATGGATGAAGACACAAGAGGATCAAATGGCATCCACACTATTCTAAATACGGGCAAAATAGAACATTCTCTCTGACATGAGAACAAGGCAAATACACAAAAACAGAAATGGTCCCTCCTTTCTGTGCCTTTCAGGCCACACCATGAAGAGTTCGGAGCTCTCTTTTTTTTTAGCTGGTGAGGAACAGAACAGAGCTTATAGAAAGAAGAGCAGCTGGAAGGGGAGTGTGTTCTTTCACATCAATGCTGGGAACTCCTACTCTATGGAATCAATACAACGGTATAGACTGATAAAAAGTTTATACTCAAATAAAAGAGAGAAACTTTATCAGAAAATCATCCACAACACATAGGTGAAAGCTGTTAAGTTTAGCTTCTGTCACCGTCCTTTCATTTTAATTACAAATTTATCTGCCACTTAGATGAAAAGAAAAAAATAAGAATAGGAAAATATACCTTCATGTAGTGTTTAAAGATGTCTGCAGCTGCGTGCATGTCAACAATATCATAAATGATAAGTTTGCTGAAGGCAGCAAGTAGATTCCTTCTCTTATGTAAGGCCTCAATTTTATTGGCTTCATCTTCTTCATCACCCTCTAACACAGAAAATAAACTGGTTACAAATTTTGGCCCTTTATCTAAGTAAAACAATGCAGACAATCTGTATAATCAAAAACTAGCTTGGCATCATAACTTCACAAATATGCACAATTCAGTTTTAGATGGGACACAAACAGTTTTACTAATTTTTTCAGGGTGCTGTATTTAGTTACACATTTATCAAATACTTAGTAGGCACAAGGAGATTATCATAGTAAAGAATGAGTAGGATAAGCAAACCATATACAAGTATAAAGAGATTGTTTTTCTGATTCTTTCATCATAATTATACTTTTAAGTTGTCTATCTTAAAAATACTATCGTTTCTATTTCAAAATTCCTTATGTACTAATATAGTCCCACAGAGAAGAAACTTCTGGAAATTGTGAAGACATAGGGAAAAAGTTTTCTTTGAGAAATATATTTGGGGGAGTAAAGGAAATATATGGAGGAGTTAATTTTCAATGCTTGTCTTAATCATGCTTACATTATTGGCTGAGAAATGAAATATATTTTGCAAGCCATGCTATGTACATGTAAAGTTTTTTTAAATCCTATCAAATACTTTCAAAATAAGCAGTGTTTCTTCCTAAATATTTTTAGATTCAGACCACACTGACTTGCCTATTTCTAATTCTAGAAAAAATTTCCCAACAAGTTCTCCAGATGATATTTCTCCCAGGCTCTGCACTGACCCTCTCATATCCTGGCCTACCTTTATTTGGGGCCAGCCTCCTTGCTTCTCTTCCTCACATATATGTATTCATAGAAGAATTTACTCCAATCTTTTATGTATTCATAAAAGAACTTATTCCCAATCTTTCTCTTTCCTTTCATGCTAATTAGTCCTGTTGTGAAGCATCAATGCTTTGAGAAGTTGGGGAAATCTTTTTGCTTAAGACAAATATCAGGTAAATTTTGTCTGAGATTAATACAGACTCTAAATAAATATACCCTGTTTTACAGTCTAGAATTTTCTAAAATGTTCTGTAAAGTAAAAAACATTCTTTTTTGGGGGGCAGCTGGCCAGTATGGGGATCCAAACCCTTGATCTTGGTGTTATCAGCACCATACTCTAACCAACTGAGCTAACTGGCCAGCCCCCTGTTAAGTTAATAACATTCTAGTAGCACCAGATATGCCTCTTACATTATTTTAGACATCTTAAATTATCTATTTCACAAATAAACTATTCTAAATAACTTATTTACAACTATTCATTAACACTTCAGTCTGATTTTGCTAAGCTGTCATTCTGCAGGCTCAGCGCAATTTTGACTAGTGAGGTTTGATCATAGTCTTTCAGCATTTAATATCTTAACAGTTACATGTTGTTCATTTTAGTAATATACAATGATCACACAGGAACAGAAAGGAACCTGGATGCAGCCAATCAGAAAAAACATCTATCCTACATATACATCTGTACATGTGGGAAATAACAAATGTACACAATTATTCATTGCAGCATAGTTTATAAGAACTAAAGACAGGAAACTAGCCATATGCCAAACAATGTGAGATGGATTATATAAATTATGCTATATTTATACAAAGCAATATGCAGATGTTAGAAAAAGAATAAGGAAGCTCTTATGTAATGATAGGGAAAGTGCTCTAAGGTACAATGTTAAAGGAGAGAGACTGCACTATGTACATCTTTATTCTTGTTGGTTTCTGACCTACATGAATGCATTACTATTAACTTTTTAAAGAGAAATCTCTGTAATTTTTAGGAATGAATTTGAATTTTTTTGCTCCGATCTTTTGGGGCTGGTAAAACAAAACCAATATTGACAAAATGATAGCTACAAATACCCATGCTCTGGTTCTCCTCATCTTGGTCAATGAAAACGTGATCCATCACAAAACTGAGGAGTTCAGACTGGAGTCCAGTATCTGGATTAAACACCAAAGGCTGAAGGCCCTCTCTGCCACCTGTCATTAACTGGTGACTAAAAATCATCAAAAGATCACAGAGTAACATGAAAGCCTGGAAAGCAAAGGGAATCCATTAGCAAAATACTATGTGAATATAGCTACAACCACAAATCAAAGTTAATGAAAACACACTAAATTAAAATTTAGTTCAGTAGAGTGCCATAATATAAATTTTAAGTATTTAAATTCTAATTAGTTTTAATTTACAAATTTTTTTTTGAATTAGTCAAGATTTATTCAGTGTTATTTATACAAATTCACTTATTCAATGTCAAACACTCAATATAGATTGCAAATTTGCACTGTTTCTCAAACTTGACATTTTAAAATGGAGTATGAATACCAAAAAATGGTATTCATGGTTTAGAGTTTTCAACAGAGGTGATGAAGACATTGGGTAGATAGTGTGTTTTCCCATGATGACCACACATTGCACCCCACCCCACCCCGACTGTCACCCCCTCCCTTACAATTCCCAGCTGGATTCCCCATTAGGGTATTCATGGTTTAGAGTTTTCAACAGAGGTGATGAAGACATTGGGTAGATAGTGTGCTTTCCCATGATGACCACACATTTCACCCCACCCCACCCCGACTGTCACCCCCTCCCTTACAATTCCCAGCTGGATTCCCCATTAGACCACTCACTGCTACGCTTTCCACCTCCTTCTGCATTTTCCAGCCCTACAGATATCCATGGTGAACACTACTGTGCTCTTTTGCTTTGGCTGAAGCCAGAATGACTGGACCTTCTTTAGGACTTAGTAACAGCAAAGAGTGCAAATGAACACAGCATTGTTGCTTTTAACATGAACTGAGATGAAAGGCAGGGTCTCTCTGACAACATACAACTTCAAGAACAGTACTTAATATAAGGCCAAATGTTGGGGGAGTGAGGGAAATGAGATTATTTGCTCTGCTCATTTCATAGTCTAAATTTCACTGTTTCTAACCAAAGGTACTTTAGAGTGAGATGCATTAATAATTTACAAATTTAATAAAATTATTTTTTCTTATTAAATACTTGTCACATTTAAGGCTTTTATTCCCAAACATAGTACATTTCTTTTACTCAGCTGTATTAACTCAAAAACAGCTGATTAGGAGATTTTGACTTGAATTTTAAAAAAATAAGTTAAACACAACTCTGGAAGTACAAAATTGATATAACAGATTATGACAGAGGTTAGGAATCTAATACACTGCTTAATCAAATAATTAGCATAAGTTTTAAGACCGACTCTATAATTCAACAAATTATAATGCAACAAATGTAAGCTACTATTTGGATTCTTTTAAAAAAATCTAATGTAAAAAATAAATCTCTACCAGTAGGTTTAAAATTGAATTCAAGGGCCGGCCCGGTGGCGCACTGCTACAGTGCGCCGCTTGGGAGCGCGGTGGCGCAAAAAAAAAAAAAATTGAATTCAAGACCATTCATATAAAAACCAGTATCTAAAAGCCTCCCAACAATTTTAATCACATAAGGGAACTTTCAACACATTTCCCCAAAGATAAAGTATTATATAGGTATGTTGCCAAATTTGTCCTATTTAACAAACGAAGTGAAATAAATGTGTACTGTCAGTTTATTATAATTGAGAGATTTGAGGGCTCTGACACCTCAAAATGTTTCACTAAAACTCTCCTCTAAAAGTTGATTTCTATGAGAAATAACAGTTTTGGCATTTATTTGGAGATGGTTGTATACTTGGATGTCCAGTAAGAATCATAGCNAAGGGAATCCATTAGCAAAATACTATGTGAATATAGCTACAACCACAAATCAAAGTTAATGAAAACACACTAAATTAAAATTTAGTTCAGTAGAGTGCCATAATATAAATTTTAAGTATTTAAATTCTAGTTAGTTTTAATTTACAAATTTTTTTTTGAATTAGTCAAGATTTATTCAGTGTTATTTATACAAATTCACTTATTCAATGTCAAACACTCAATATAGATTGCAAATTTGCACTGTTTCTCAAACTTGACATTTTAAAATGGAGTATGAATACCAAAAAATGGTATTCATGGTTTAGAGTTTTCAACAGAGGTGATGAAGACATTGGGTAGATAGTGTGCTTTCCCATGATGACCACACATTTCACCCCACCCCACCCCGACTGTCACCCCCTCCCTTACAATTCCCAGCTGGATTCCCCATTAGACCACTCACTGCTACGCTTTCCACCTCCTTCTGCATTTTCCAGCCCTACAGATATCCATGGTGAACACTACTGTGCTCTTTTGCTTTGGCTGAAGCCAGAATGACTGGACCTTCTTTAGGACTTAGTAACAGCAAAGAGTGCAAATGAACACAGCATTGTTGCTTTTAACATGAACTGAGATGAAAGGCAGGGTCTCTCTGACAACATACAACTTCAAGAACAGTACTTAATATAAGGCCAAATGTTGGGGGAGTGAGGGAAATGAGATTATTTGCTCTGCTCATTTCATAGTCTAAATTTCACTGTTTCTAACCAAAGGTACTTTAGAGTGAGATGCATTAATAATTTACAAATTTAATAAAATTATTTTTTCTTATTAAATACTTGTCACATTTAAGGCTTTTATTCCCAAACATAGTACATTTCTTTTACTCAGCTGTATTAACTCAAAAACAGCTGATTAGGAGATTTTGACTTGAATTTTAAAAAAATAAGTTAAACACAACTCTGGAAGTACAAAATTGATATAACAGATTATGACAGAGGTTAGGAATCTAATACACTGCTTAATCAAATAATTAGCATAAGTTTTAAGACCGACTCTATAATTCAACAAATTATAATGCAACAAATGTAAGCTACTATTTGGATTCTTTTAAAAAAATCTAATGTAAAAAATAAATCTCTACCAGTAGGTTTAAAATTGAATTCAAGGGCCGGCCCGGTGGCGCACTGCTACAGTGCACCACTTGGGAGCGCGGTGGCGCTCCCGCCGAGGGTTCGGATCCCACATACAGACCGGTTCCCGCTCACTGGCTGAGCGAGGTGCGGGTGCAACACCGAGGGTTGCGATCCCGTTGCCGGTCCCGGTCCGGTACGGGCGCGACACTGAGGGTTGCTATCCGTTGCCGGTCACGAAAAAAGACAAAAAAAAAAAAAAAAAAAAAAAAAAAAATTGAATTCAAGACCATTCATATAAAAACCAGTATCTAAAAGCCTCCCAACAATTTTAATCACATAAGGGAACTTTCAACACATTTCCCCAAAGATAAAGTATTATATAGGTATGTTGCCAAATTTGTCCTATTTAACAAACGAAGTGAAATAAATGTGTATTGTCAGTTTATTATAATTGAGAGATTTGAGGGCTCTGACACCTCAAAATGTTTCACTAAAACTCTCCTCTAAAAGTTGATTTCTATGAGAAAAAACAGTTTTGGCATTTATTTGGAGATGGTTGTATACTTGGATGTCCAGTAAGAATCATAGCAGTTAATACCCTGATTACACAACCATGAAATATACTGAGATATTTAGGAAGAGCCCTTTGAAAAGAGGGGAGCATGAACAGAATCCAGGGTAGTATTTTACCCAGGCTATAGTTTTAGACATCATCAAGCTGATCTGATGCAGAAACACTGGATTTTTGGTTTAAATAGCCAGAGCTGGGTACTTCTAGACAGCACTGGTAGAGTTCTGAAGATTTAGAGATCAAGGTTTAGTTTAGGGAAGACCATCTCTGTTTCCATTTTAAATTAAATGCTGATAACTCAATAAAAAGAGAACTGTGACCACCTTGTAAGAAGAGAAAGCAAAGGATAAGTAATACCGTGCCCTTTAACCAGACTAACTATACTCTTTTTCTAGCCCAATATCAAAATAAGGGACATTATGGAAAAAGTACATTCTGTTTTATACAAAAGTACTCCCTAATAGAACAGTATAATAAATGGCTTAAAAATCACTTCATGGAAACAGTAGTTCCCTGGGCTCCACTTTTACCCTCTCTGGGCTGTGCTCCTCTCCAAGGAGTGAGTAATCTGTTGGACCAATGGGATATGTCCATCCATACTCTCACTTCTACACCACTGTTCAAGTACCGGGACTCAACAATTCGTTACCCTAACAGACCTGATCCTATTGTCAGAGCTTGCAAAGGTCTCTTCCCTAGGCATACTGCATCCCCAGTGTGTGCACTCCTAGGCACCAGGGTGAAGGGGCAACTGTTTGGGGAATGGGGGGGAGGGTGGTGTTTCACAGAGCTTGGACATATGGGCTGAAGTATTCATATGCATGCGTGAGATGTGCTTCCTGTTAAAAGGAGCTGAAAGTGAGAAGACAAGAGGGCAGGCCATAGGTCAGCTTCCTAGACCCTAAACGTTCTGACATAGAATTCTTGATAGTCAAGAATTCTAAATTTAAACCTAGCATTCCAGGTAATGAGAGTATACTTGTCAAAGCAAAAGGATAGAATATATTTTATATACAAGTTTACCAGCTTGCTTTATAACTTAAATATTCAGACATCTACACTCCTGTCCATCTCCCATAAATTTTAGTGATGGACATGTATGCTAAGAACTGCCACAAAAAATTACATCTTCTTACTGTTCATCAATGCTTTTCAGCTGTTTTTACTGAGAGCTCTTAACTGGTAATTTCTTACCTGTTCCTTCACTGGAGTATTAACATTAGATAGGCACTGTTGGCAAACAGCCAAAAAGGATTTCACTGTTTTCCTCAAAACCAACAAATCATCCTGTAAGACACATTCAAATTTGCAAGCATGAATTACAGTATACTAGAAAACTGATTCAGAAGAAATAATACGTGGAAAATATCCAAACTGGTTTACTGTCAAGAAAATTTGTAAAACCAAATTTCTTCTTGGAAACCAGTTAGTACAGTTATTTGCTAGATATCGGGCCTAATGGAAAGGACAGTGAAACTGACCATCCCAAACACTCAGTTCTACTTAGCTATGGAATGCTCAGTATGATTGCTGTCAACAAACTTTCCTTTATAAATGTGATTTACTTAGGCTGATATTAAAATTGTTAGTCATTCCTTAATATACACTAACTGGTAGTAAGGTGAGAGAGCACAGAAGCACACTGAAAAAATTCAATTAAGCAACAACCGTGTACTGAACTTCTCCCATATTTTAAGCACTCTGCAAAATATCAGGGGAAGAAAGATAAATTTAAGACAATGTCCATGCCCTTGAAGAGTGAACATTCTAGCAGAGAGTTAGACCAGTTAGAAAGGTTAATTAAGTCTTCAAATTTATGTATTAACTCTAACTGCAACAGAGTTGAGTTGGAGAAACCTTCTATGAGAACAGGCTTTAATCTAAGATTGGATCGGTAAATAGGATTTAATAAGATGACCAGATAATATTTCATATGGAACAACATTTGAAAAGTATAAAAGGAAATTTATATTTATCGAGCACCTATAATGTGTCAGGCACTGGTTTGAGGGCTTACTATTATATAATTTAATATTTATATAGATTCTAAGAAGTAGTCATTATTAGCAAGGATTTGAAATCAGGACCGTCTGATATTGGAACTCATATTCTTCCAACTAATAAGCAAGACACATGCAGATAATTTGGTATTATATTGACATTTAAAATAGTAATGAACCAAGGTCACAGATTCAGATCCCTGTACTGGCCAGCCACCAAAACAACAACAAAAAAATTAAATAGTAATGAAGAGTAAATACCTGAGCAAAGGCTGATGTAGAAATCACTTTAAAAAAGAACTCTATTAAACTAAAATTCTCTAAGCTACTCTATTTTGTACAGATGACACCACTTATTCCTTTTTGGGACCTCACGTCCAAATACTTCAAAAATTATATACATGTTTCCTTTTGCTAATTAAAAAGAACTCTATTAAACTAAAATTCTCTAAGCTACTCTATTTTGTACAGATACTTATTCCTTTTTGGGACCTCACGTCCAAATACTTCAAAAACTATATACATGCTTCCTTTTGCTAATATGAGTGCAATATTTGGAAGAAAAAATGAGTTCATCTTGTGCAGAGTAGAAAAAAGGACACTGTCTTGAGAACCTTTAATGTTGCTGCAGATGAACATCCAGTAACCAAATCTCAATGTTCCTTGAACTTCTTTAATTTCAAACATTCACAATGCACGGGGGAAAAGAGGAAGGAACAGGCAACTGCAACAGAATGTAAGGAATGGTATGATAAGAGAGAACACAGGCTCTATGTTGGAAAATCTAATTCAGAGTCAAAAGTTGTCACATAGAAGAGTTCCCAAAGAAGATAATGTACAAATTGAGTCCTGAAGAACAAAAATTATCTAGCAATAGAAAAAGGTGTTCTAAATAGGGCACAGAATATTCACAAGCTTGGAGGTGTTTTTGAGGAACTGTTAATTTATTGTAGCTGGGGCATGAATAGGGAAGAAAGTGGCAAGAGAGAAAGCTAATGAGTAAAACAGAATCTGTTTTAAATGAAAGTCCATTTAAAATGCCATGTTAAATCATTTGGATATTATCCTGATAGCAATAAACAACTATTGAAGAAGGATTTTTTCCATGGGAGTGCTAAAATTTTGTGTAAAAGAATCATATTCTAAGCATAATGAAGAATGATGTAAAATAGGCCACTTAAAGTAGATACAACCTTTTGTTCAGAGCTTATTATGTACCCAAGAATTGTGTTCTAAGTGTCATAAATTTAAATCTCACAATCACCCTATGAAGTAATTGGTAATATTCCTGTTTTACAGACAAGGAAACTGAGATTCAGAGCATCCATAAATTCTAAGTGATAGAGTAAGGATCCAAACCTAGGTCTGTCTGACTTTTAAGTCCATATTAATCATTATCCTGTATTTTCTTACATATTAACAAAGACCATAGGAATTAACTAGAATGAGGGCTTGAAAATAAAATGTTGACAGTAAAGATATGAATAAGTGTGGAATAAATTAAAGTACTAGAACTGATAGAATTTAGGGAATAACCGTGAGTAGGGGCTGTTGTTGATTACTCCTAAATTTTTAGGTAGTCGCCTGCTAGATGGACTGTGGTGTAAGTCACCAAGATAAGAAACACAGGAACAAATGCAGTTAGCAATAGTTAATTTTAGAAATGATGACTTTTGGGCCGGCCTGGTGGCACACTCGTCAGAGTGTGGCGCATGGGAGTGCGGTGGCGCTCCTGCCGAGGGTTCGGATCCCATATAGAGACCAGTCCGCTCACTGGTTGAGCGCGGTGCGGGCGCGACACCAAGGGTTGCGATCCCGTTGCCGGTCGCGGTACGGGCGCAACACCGAGGGTTGCTATCCCGTTAACGGTCACGAAAAAAGACAAAAAGGAAAAAAAAAAAGAAATGATGACTTTTGAGATCCTTGAAAGATATCCTACTGAAGGTGTTTAGAAGGCAATTGAATATATGAGTTGAAAGCCCAAAACAGAGAAGCAAGAATAAAGATAAGAAATGATGACTTTTGAGATCCTTGAAAGATATCCTACTGAAGATGTTTAGAAGGCAATTGAATATATGAGTTGAAAGCCCAAAACAGAGAAGCAAGAATAAAGATTTGGTGGTCCTCAGCATTTAGATGGCAACACAGGTGATAAAAGTGAATGATACTGTTCAAAGAGAATATGTAGTGATAAACCAGAAATCTACTGACTGAGGTCAGCTAAATTCCTAAAAGACTTGCGGGTCTGAAATGGGGCAAAAGTTGTGTCTCCACATTCTGGAACATTACCACAAGACTATTTTTAACCTAAAACCAGAGCTACTGATGCCTCAAAAGACTATGTATTAAATTAGGAATGCCAAAAATGTATCATTGACCCTTACTCATACATGTGTATATAGGATGTAACCAAGGGCCAATCTCTAACCTATGTAATGCTATGTAACCAACAGAAAAACTGATGTACTGATTAAGGATCTGTCCCCTCTTCTCCCCTTTGTTATTCTCTTCTTTGTGATTAAAAAAATACTAAAACCTGGTCTACAAATTGGAACACATGATTCAAAGCCTTGAATGTATGTCTTCCCAGGATGCAGTCACACATATTGGCTCAAGTAAACTCTATGAAACTTATCAGTACCTCAGGTTCTTTTTACAGATCAAAAGTAGAGAAAGGAGACAGGAGACAAGTATCCTGGGGAACATCCAAGATCAAATTGCCAGCAAAAAAGCCCAAAAAAAGGTATCCTGTGGAATACCAATATTTAAAAGATGAATGAGAAAGAAGAGCTTATGAAGAATTTTAAGAAATGATCTGAGAAGCAAAAATAAAACAAGAGGATTATGGCATACCAGAGGTAAGAAAATAAAAACCATTTAAAAATGGATAATTAACAATAACAAATAGCACAGAGAGATAAGACAGATAAGGATTAGAAAGTGTCCCAAGGATAAAGCAATGATGAGGCTGGGAGTGACCTTGGAGATAGCATTTTCATTGGAGCTATGAATGTTGAAGTCACACTGCAGTGGGTTGAAGAGAAGATAATGAAGTCAACTCTTTCAAAAAAGTCTGATTGTAAAGAGCCACAGAAAAATAAAATGGCTGCTAAAGAGGTCTTCTGGAGTTGATGAAGGACTTTTTGGTCATTGCTGATATTCTGAATAGAAAAGATATTGAGAATGTTTAGTGAACAAGTAACTGAAAGAAGAACAAGGTCTCTAAGCGATGTGACCTTACGGAAATTATTTTATATCTTAGGATTACAGATTTTAAAAATCTATAAACAAGAGGATTGAACTAGGTATTCTGAGGTTCTGTGTCATTCTGTGGTTCTGCAGAATTAACTCTGCATACTCAAATGAGAACAGATAGTACTCAAAGGATGAATGTTCACTCTTCCATCACTAGCACCTAGAAGAATAGTGCTTGGCATATAACAGGTGTTTAGTATATATTTACTGAATGAAATGTCAGTATACTTAATATGGATGATCTCACAGTCCTAGGGGAGATTGAATAATGTGTTCATTCCATCAAACAATAAATAATTAAGTTTTTAAAAAATGATGCTAGGAGGTATCAATGCTCCTTTATTCCCTCAGATTTCGTAATATTTTAACTTATTTTCTGAAAGGAGCTTGGCATCAAGAGCACTTTTTCCTAGAGTAGCCATGGAAAGGAATTCAGACAGGTCAGATAATAAGATTCTAGCTATATTCTTTTGTATCCATTTTGCAAGTTGCTTCATTAGACTGACTAAGGTTTTTTTGCTTCCTGGTAGATCTAGTCAAACCAATAATTAGAAGACTGAAGCCTACATACGCCAATATATGAAAGGGCTAAAATAGTTTCAATTTCTCAGTGATCTATTTACAAAGATAAGAGGAGAAATCTCTTTCAACGAATTAAGATGTTCTTAAAATACTTTCTGGTCAGCAGAATCTCAACAATGAAGAACCCCAAATAGGGCAGGCACAACTAAGATGGTGAATTTATCATATGAGCTATATTAGAAAGACATACTCCTAAAGGCACAAAGGCTAAAACTTGACATCTTAGGAAGAAAAAGTAGATCTTAAATGTAGACTTCCCCCATAATATCCAACTATCCCAATATGACTATAGTCAGGGAGGAAAGATAACAGTTTAATTCCTGCATGTGCGTACACGCACACACACACACATGCACACGTGCGCGCGCGCGCGCGCACACACACGCACACACACACACACACACACTTTAAAATGGGTGATAGACTCCTTTTCATTTTTTTTTTTCCTGT